GGGATTTGGGAACAAAAAGAAAAACAAAGATAAAGACGGTGGACTTTCTACGTTCTCTGCAAGTCATGAGAACACTTACACTCGATGTTAAACAATACGAAGTAAAGGTCTCTTTTAACTTCTGCGGAGAAGGCATGCTAGCATATAACAGATCTTTTATTTGTCATGCCCTACCGAAGAATGGGAGTGCTTCACAGCCACTCTTGTACTGTACAAGTGATAATGCTAAGTGATAAGCTGTGAGCCGATTTTACAGAAAAAAATGGGCATCAATCAACCCCGTCGAAGTGTTTTCCTTTAGCTATTTTTCGCAGTTTATTTGCAGAAGAGGAGTAAGGAGCTGAAAATTGTCTGAGCGTTACCTTGACAAAGAGTTCCTCGCCCCACGATGAAACCTTTGAGTCAATGAAGGCAGGAAAAAGACATTTAATTAGAGACGGAAGTTAAAATTCAGGGAACCATGAAGAACAAAAGCTTAGCAGTTAGAAATAACAAATGCATGAAATATATACACTACAGTAGAAGTGTAAATGAGGTATACCCTTGTTGTGATTAGGAAAAAAGAGGATAATGCCAGAAGCATAACTACTTTTAAGGCCATTTGCTTGCTTAGGAACTAAAGAACTTGGAGAAGTTTGCCAGTGAGTGAGCGACTAGCAGCATCCAACTACGGTTGTTTATATAGAGACACCAGACGAGAGTTAAAGTGGCGACTAATGTGGTGGCAGCTACCTCGCCTGAGGAGGGCCTGCCTGCTAACCAAAATTAATTGCATTACAGACGACTCGGTCCTGATTCACCACATCAAATTGATTACTCCCAAAAAAGAAGAAATGATCAGATATGGATTTTTGTGCTGAATCCAACCTAAGCAGCAGCAGATAGTACTAGTATATATCTTTTCTTATTTGCCATTAGATGGAGTGGTACGATACTTTTTACTGCCGACAGACACATGCCACACCAACTCTGCCTTGGAAACTGGTAATATCAATTTTTTTTTTAGACATATTCTGAGCACTTGCTTTGCGATTGATCAATGAACCATCCAAACGTCAGGCATGATAATCTGCGGCAACTGGCTTCTGGATGGTGATCATTTTACGAGAAACTGTGGTTTGGAGTCTTTTAAGTAATGGATTCATCCTGGCTCCTTCCTTCCTTCCTCATCCTGCTAAGGTTCCATTAGTACGAGTTGACTTGCCAGTTGGCTCCCATCTCCGAAGAGTTGGCAAGCCATAGTGAATGAGCTATGGTGGTACCCATACGTACAAAAGCTTTTAATGGCTACCCAATGTTCCAGAGCCTTCAATTTTTTGGGGGCCCTCGGCAGGCTGGGGGAGAGCGGGGTGGGGGATGGGAGGATCAGGCGATCATAAAACATAAATGTAATTTGATTTCTGCAGCTGGACTGTGCGAGTCAGATATTCTCTACATCTTTACTGATTTTTGGTCGTGTGGTATCTCATGTGTTTTTAACCACCATGCTGGTGGCTATCACTAAAATATTAAAATTTGATGGTTGGAAATCAAGAATTCAAATCTTATTTCTCACCAATTATTACAAAAGTGATTTTATTTAAAAAATTCAGACGGATATATAGTATACTCATTTGATCTGATGGTGGTTCAGTCCCCTCCACATTACCCCTATACCTTCTTAAGTCTGTTCCCTCCCTTATATAGGATAGATTAGGTTATATATCAGTTATCGTCTCAAGAAAAAAAACAAAAAAAAAAACTCACGTGCCTTTGATTTTGGCCTTGTCCGCCTGTCCAAATTGATCATCCTAGTGAAACTTAATTAGGACTAGTTCCAATCCTCCCGGTGGATAAAGATGGAGAGAAAAACGATGGTCTTGTCAAGAAAGGGTACCGTTGTGTATGATTAGTGTACTTGTTTTAGGTTATGGTGTACTTCGCATTACACTTCTTGTATTCCTTGAGCATGGTATGCTTTCTATATATATATATATATATATATATATATATATATTCTATGGCTATAAACACTGTTGGAGAAAGTATGGATTGATGAAACGGGAAAAAGAAATATGGATTGATGAATGATCTACATCCCAACAAAACGCACCAAGTAAAGATATGAAACTGGAGAATTACTTTGTCATGATAGACTACAAAGAGTCCTTATGGAGTGATAATTTAGAAGTTGGAAAGATGAAGATTTTAGAAGTTATGCGATGTTTAATAGTTTAATTTGATATATAATAATTGTGCGAGGAGGAGTTTATAATCGTGGATAAGTAATTTTGTATTTACGTAGTTTAAAGGGTTATAATATATTGACAATTAAGCAATTAAATTTTACTAGTATATGTGTTTATTGGTTAATAGCTAATTCGAAAGTTAAAATTGAAATCACAAAAGATCACACTAAATTGTTTATACCAAATCAAACTCCCACCTTCACTTTACTATCGTTGAGAGAGAGGGAGAGAGTTTGTAATGAAAATGGTCAGTTGAACTGTCTATCATGTAGCTCCCGCGTGAATGTCCAGCGGCAGCGCCTCTCACCAGTGAACTTTGAGGTCATAAGTTCGAGTCTCCGCTCCGCTGGATTCCTCCGCGCACTTAACGTGTTCGGGCCGGGTTGGGCGTCGGGTCCGGGTTGCAGGGATTAGTCGGGGCCAGTAAGAATTGATCCGAACACCCCTGTGTCGAAAAAAAAAAAAAAGAACTGTCTATCATGTAGATTCCTAATGAGCTTTAACAGGCTTTTAAGACGTTGTGGACCAAGGTCTGGCCTAGGGTTGCAAACGAATCGAGCCGCTCGAGTCGAGCTCGAGCCAGCTCAAGTCGAACTCGAGCTCAGAATATTAAGCTCGTTAGCTCGCGAGCTTGAGTATATATATATATATATATATTTTTTTATTTAGTAATAAAATTACGTATATTATATATATATATTTTATTTTTTATTTCATAGTGAAATTACGTATATATCCTTAATATTTTATTATTTATTCAGAAAAAAAAATTATTTTATTTATTTTTTTAAAAATAAAATAATTATTTTTATTTTTTTCGAGCTCGAACTCTTGGTAAAATTTAGTCGAGACTCGGCTCGATTAGCTCAAAGCTCGACTCGCTCGACTCGTTTGCAACCCTACTCTGGCCTCTGTCACATGATGACCCTAGGCCCAATAGATGCATCTATTTTGGCCTAACAAAATTTCTTGTTTCTTCTCTTTTCGTGGGAGGTGGAATTGGTGGCGGGCCTACTGACAATGATTTAGATCTACTGGCGTTTAAGTGCAAATCTATCAGCGACGACGGCGTTTTAGTGTTATACTTTCTCCGACGTGTTTATGCAAATGCATTCCTTTTTTTTGGGGATAATTTCAGAAACCTTTCTTGAAGTTCGTAACAATTTCGTTCGCCACTCTTGAAATTTGTAAAATTACACAAACCTCCTTAATGTTAAGGTTTTGATAACAAAGTTAGTCCAATTAGAAAAAGTAACATTAAAAAATTACTTTAAAAAGAGAGATGAAAATTTTATTCCATAAATACTCCTTATGCATGTATATAAATTACATTAGTAAAAGAATAAAAATAATTAAAGCTCATATTTAATAAATTAGACAACATAAATAAGCAACAAAACTGCACTAATGATTACAAAATTCAGCAAAACAAACTAGTTATCTCTTTTAACATATTGTTAACTATGATTTTTATGATTTTTATGATTTTGAATTAAAAATTTTGAAATTTGCCTTTCTTTTCCCTCCTTTCTTCCTTATTTCTATAAAATTACTTTACAATTGTCATAATTTTAAGAGTTTCAAAAAAATTTAAATGAAGGAAAAGAAAAACAAAATTTGAAAATTTTTCTGTTCAAAATCATGATAATCATAGCAAACATCATGTTAAAATAGATGACTAGTTTGTTTTGCTGAATCTTGTAATCATTAGTATAGTTTTTATTGCTTATTTGTATCGTCTAATTTATTAAATGTGAACTTTTTGAGTGGTTAAATGTGTGTATTAATTGTTTCTAACTTTTAATTATTTTTATTCTTTTATTAATACGACATATATATATATATATATATATATATATATTATATATACGCATAAGGGGTATTTATGGATTAAAAGTTCCATCTCCCTCCTTGAAATACTTTTTTAATGTTATTTTTTTTAATTGGATTAACTTTGTTATCGAAAGCTTAATTTCAGAAGAGGTTTGTGTAATTTTACAAATTTCAAAGGAAACTAGTAAAATTATCAAAAACTTCAGGGGAGATTAGTGAAATAGTTAGAAATTTTAGAGGAGGTTTTTGAAATTATCACTTTTTTTTGTGCGAAAGTATGTGCATGCATTTCGTTGTACAATTTTAAAATTAAACTAAACTAGCCGCCACACGGAAACTTCAACATTTCAGAAAAAGCACTACTAATATTTTCACCAAATCATATAGTAGCATATATATATCGAGTAAAGGAAAAATAACACAAGCCTTTGGATGCCACTTATTTGTTCAAAAATTATTTACTTGTATCATAAATACATAATTCAATAGATATTTTTATCTTTTTTATCTCATATACATCACATTACAATGAATGCTTCAATAATTATTTCAATTAACTTATTATCCAAACATGTTGACCGCTCTTTGACAATAAAATAGACGTAGTCGTACTTGTTCAGCACTAGACTTCAGAACTCACAAGAGTGCGCTTAAGCACAGTTCTAGGTCAAGCACAAGCCGTGCTTTGATCCCCCTGCCTACCGTCCAACAAGGAACTTCGAGTTCTTGTGTGCCCAACTCACTGATTTGTTTAGCACTAGATACGGGTAGTTTCGATCAGGGAACGGTTGAAATTGTATGAACTGGTATAGTTGATATGAGACTGATCTCTCGAATGACAAAGAAATTATCGAGGAGAAAAGAGAAGTTCAAGCAATCACAAAATAGGCCATCTTTCATAATGAAAAAAAAAAAAAAAAAACAGCAGCAGATTCTTACTTTTTTGCAAACAACCACGAGGAAAACATAAATTACCAGTGAAGCCTGGGATGATTATTCGTTACATGATCAAGCGATACAATAGCAGATGAAAGAACAGAAATCACTATGGAGTATAACAAGAAATAGAAGGGGCATCTGTGGACGATTTAATATTTCTTGGGGGTGGGGCAGGGGACGTAGTCGTTATGGTACCACACTTTGTCCCAGGTGACGCACTTCTTCTCCGGACGTCCGGGGACGCACTGGTACTGGTCGCAGCAGGGTACGCAAATCCTCAGGCATCCCCTTTTCGACTCCGCCTTCTGGCAGTATTCCATGCACAATTTGACACAGTCACCTGGATAGATACATGGATACAAAGTCACATCGATTGCAAGGAGGAAGTTCAGTTTGCTGTACTAGTAGTTTTAGATACTAGATAGATAACGAGAAGATGGCTTTCTTTCAATTCCATTCAAGGCCATGTTTATCGCTGAAGACATGAATAACATCTGATCATACGCAGTAGGATGAAGAATTCAGATTTAGAAATTTAGTACCATGGTTTTGCTTAGACGGGGAGTGAACTGGAGAAATTTTGGGAGGGTATGCAGGAGCCTTCTTGGGCGGATAAATTGGAGCCACCTTTGGGGATAGGTGGGAGCTTTCTTAGGGGGATAGGCGGGAGCCTTCTTTGGTGGGTACACTGGAGCCTTCTTTGGTGAGGGGAGCGGCGGCTTTACTGGTGCATGAGCAGGGGATTTGGCACCATGACGATGCTGCAAATATATAGAAAAGACGTCAGTTTAAGGAATAGAGACTAAAAACTGCCATACCATACCATGTTTCGTCAACTTTGATAGAATGAGGATGGATTAGCGGTCTGTACGACGAAGACCAAGAAAAACTCTTGGATTGCCATTGCATAAACTAATTTAAGATTTGGTCTCGTGACATGATTAAATTTAGGAAGTCCGAGGTTCACACGTGGAGAACAGGAAATTACAAGTAAATATGGTAGAAGGTGGGGGAAACTTGATCAGAATTACCTCTGTGAGGATATCCTCTTCCATTGATGTGACCTACAAGTACAAAGTAGCAGGATAAATAAACAATGAACACTAGTACTCACTAAATTGAAGCGCAAAGGAAAACCTATTCCTATTCTTGTTAAGAACGCGATTAGAGAAGGCAACAAAGAGGAAAATGCGCTGCTGAATGGTGTTTGAGCGTGTATACATTGCAATGACTTAATTCCACATTGAGAAAGGCTAGATCTTAACCCCTTTATCTTATGTCCACACTAGAGGCGGCAACCTGGATCAGAATCCATTTATCCATCCATTTGACCCTTAATTAAATGGATTTGGATTGCCGATTTTCAGTGGTTTTAAATGGTTTGACCAATTAAATCCACTTAAGTTAATGGTTTTAAATGGATTATCCATATAAACCATATAAAACCAATTACTTCAAAAAAAAAAAAAAACGTCAATCCCTCTGACTCTGAAGTTCCAAGCCAACAAGTTCTGAAGTTCCATAATACCCCAGTCGCTGCCATAGATAAATACCCCAGTTGCTGCCATGGATAAACTAATGATGCCTTAATTTCTCTTTTTTTTCTGAATTTTTGGTAACTGGTAAGACGAAGCCCTAAATTGTCTAAGTGACGTTCTATTTAATTCTTCAATTAGAGCACTTGATTTAGCCAGAGTATTGAGATGCTGGTTATTACTATACCATAAATGAAAGCAAACCTGGTTTTTGATGATGCTAAAGGTAGTATGGAAATGTTGGCCAACGGGTCGAAATGTATGAAGATGAATCATACGACCCGAATATTCTACAACTAGTGCGAGATTGTAGAATTTTGTTCAGATTTGAGGATTAGATCTTTGTGAGCTTTAATCCATTTTCTTCAGCAAACGGAGAGAAGATGGATAAGAAATAGAAAGAAGAAAACAGCAGAGGAAAATGAACAAAAAGATAAAGAAAGGAATTTCCTATTTGATGGTTAAATGGATTTTAAATGGATAATTGGATATCCATCATCCATTTGGATCCAATCCGTATACAACCATTTAATAAATGAATTTAAGTGGATTAGACCATTTAATCCATAATCCATTTATGTGAAACCAATTATCATCCATATATCCATTTTGACACCTCTAGTCCACACCTTTCACAAGTTAATGTCTTGAAGGTGCAGAATACATGGTTTGGATTTAGTCTTTCCCTTCCACACATTATGAATGAAACATTCGTGCATGAAAGTGAAGGGAGTATTAGTTGAGAGCCCTAAAATGTGATAAATAAGTTACATACATACCTTGGTGCTAACTAGGAGCAGAAGGCCAGAAGAAGAGCGCAGACTTCAGGGCCATAATGGTCAGTGGAATCTGGCAAGAAGCAACTAGATACTGTTGTGGAAATGTTGTTAGTTGATGAATTGAGCAGTGAAAAACACTCGGTTTATATAAATGAAGTAGACAAACAACAACATGCTATTGCTTGTTAAAGCAGAAACATGAAAAGCTGGAATTAATGCCGATTCACTGTCGATACCAGCTTCCCCGGATGAAGGCAGCCAAGGAGATTATGAAATTTCTGAGATGCGGACTCTCTGGGCTCAATGCATTTGTCTGCTAAACTAATATTTTCTCTCTCCACCGCAGTTCGATGACAGCAATAGTTTTAAGGCTTTGCGGCACCAATCTAGGCAAGATTTCTTAGTTTTTTCTACCCAAAAACTTTTGACCTTCTTGATCGAACTGCTCCACTTGTCGGTTTATATGAACAGCTAGGTTACGACCTTCGGAAGCATGTGGATCGAAGCTCAAAAATTTGACCAAATTAGAGTTTCATGTACTGTAATGTAATTGCCTTCTATCACTTTGCCAGATGAAAGCTATCAGACATTTGTGTTCCCAGGAGTATTAGGTCCTACAAATTCTGGAGTGGAGTTGAGTTTCGTTTAGAACCGATGTATTTAACTGATTTTTCATGGATAAGACAAATGATCAGAGCATGCAAGATCAAGCAACAGCCTTGGGTTATGCAGATCTGCCCGTTTAGTACTGAGAATAGAAGCAGAAGACGAGTTTTAGAGACAAAAAGGGTTCTTTTAATTTTTAGAGTAAGTATCGTATTGAAGAGATTACAGTTGGCGCTGTAATTGCAAGAAAGTTTTTGTTTATATTTCAACCCAACCATGATATCACCTGCCTGCATGGTGCATGCCCTGATCTTTGCATATAAAGAAACGTCTCCCGCAGACATCAAAGTTTGCTGGGGTCGACTCCAGAGTTTATATTTCAGCTCCAAAATACTTGCAATGACGAAGAATTTATTACTAGGCGACATCTTGCAGCGGCTTAAGTTCAAACGCACCCCACTGGCACTGAATATAGGCCCTTTCTTCCAACTTTATCGCCTATTTACATGTAATCAACAATTTAGTACCTTCGGAGATGAACCTGTCAAATCTAAGAGGCTCTTTCTGAAACACAACGAAAGATCCCAAGCAAGAAGCTGCCGGGCAAACCGGTAAATCATCAATGAAAATACATGTGCAGGAACATAGAGGTAATTATTACCCCCCTGGTTAATCACTTCTCCGAATGTTACTGAGACTGAATAATATAAAGGCATCTCAGATAAATAAATCCTTGGCAGATTGCCAGAAGCAATCATAAGAAGGAAACTCTTCCAATCCATCTAGCTGAATAAGATGTTGCCGACGATGACAAATATGTTATTCTCCAGTTACTAACTTACTAATGAACTTCCCCCTTTTTGTACATTTGTAATTAATCACTTCCTTTCTCTAACCCAGAAAAAGAAAAAGGGAAAAAATTACCCCACACACACACAATGAACCTCCACTTTTCCTTTGCATCCCTGTAACTGTTTAAATACCAAAGCCTTCCGCTATCTTTCACCCGACTATTCCTTTTCCACTTTCTCAGTCAGTCATTTGTCGAGATAAGATGATTATCAAATCACATGCATGAAATTCTCAAATCAATCTAAATTTAAGAGCTCCAAACAGTACACAAGCTCAAGGTAATCTAACAATTTATAGACATTCAAGCACAACACTACACAGGAAGGGCAAAGAGATTGTACTTCCCTCATTTTCAATATATCTATTGCAACTTTAAAGCATACGGCGAATGCTAGACTACCAGAACACCCTTTCCATACCAATTGTTTCATCACTTGCATGAACACAAACTGCTATGTGCTACCAGGAAAAAAAAAAGTTAGCGCCTAAATTTCCAGGAAGTGGAAATAATGGCTTCAATAACTAGGAAGATGATTATTAATGGAGCTTAATGCTAAAAGTGTTTTAATATAAAATCGCAGCTATACTAACTTTAGAAATATTAAACGCAAATAGCTATATGTGTATATCACCCTGATTTCACAGCAGATTTCAAGGCAACAAAAAGTGTATGAAAAGGTAGCAAGCATAAAATACGTACATAAACAAAATGCCTTGACATGACTATCCTGACAAAAGCGAAGAAAATAAGGCATGTCATTTTCAAAGATGGAGGGCAAAGCCCATTAAACATTTACAGTAGACTACATGAAGAAGCTTTTGCAACATCCGCTGCCAAGGTCTCCCTTGCTAGCCTCCGGAGGATCCCCCCCCCCTCCAGCCCAGTGGTCCAGATGTATGAGCCCTGATTGCAAACTAAAACTCAATTTAGCTAGTCCTAACTCAAACTCCAATTAGCTGATGCGTCCACACAGCTATTGCTCACCAAAAATGACCAATCTCACAAATTATTAGGACAAAATTGAGTGCCCTGAACCCAACATGATGCTTGGAGGGAGGATGCTGAAAAAGCAATAGGCACAGTAGTGCATGGAGCAATGGAATTTTAGAATGAGCTAAGAAGCATGCTCATTTGCTCCCCCTCGTGAGATTTTACATGGACACCTGCATGCTACCTTCTGCGTAAAGCCTCAAAATGCTTAACAATGTGGAAAGATTAGGCAAGTTCATAGGTCAAACTAAAGGATAAAATCCACAATCAATCTTGGAAAAAACAAACAAGATAGATTGGTAAAAAAAAATGAAGAATCTATACTGCAAAGGTCACTGGATGATTGAGCAGCCCAGCTCTAAATTTAACTTAATAGTCCTAACAAATGAAGGAATAAAGTAACAACTCGGCAGCAGTAAACTGTAATCAACAATGAAAATTATCCAATCTGAATGTTAACTTAATAGTCCTAATAAATGAAGGAAAAAAGCAACAACTCAGTGGCATTAAATTGTAATCAACAATGAAATGCATCCTATCTGAACGTGAAATTACATTAACAATCCCAAAATTCTACAAGCACTCATACAGATACACTTAACGGAGCATTCCAAAATTTAGGCCGAGCACATAGAGAACTTGATACATTAAAGTGCAAATGAGAAAATCATCGTACATTTATCTAGCTGAAGTCTTCTTCATCCTGGAAGCTCAAATTTAATGTCTGTAACTTGAAGCCTTTACTTTGTATCACCTCAACCAAATTTGAAGCCACACCTGTAGCTTGCACAGTTGTTTGCTTTGTCAACTGCAAAGAACAGAGCGGAATGAACTTAAAAACTGTTTGAACAGATACTGAGACGATATTATAATTAAAACTAGCAGAACCTGCATGCTCTATGACTTGCCCCAAAGATTGGGTTGGGAAAAAGGTGAAGGGAGTGCTTGTTGACTTCAATAATCAAACTACATTGGGATTTGGACCAACTTATTTATATCACTTTGCTTCCTAACATTGTAACCAGTTGTAAATTTATATAAGTAGTTAATTGATACTTGTGCTTTCCACCCTGAGATCTAAGTTACTAAAGAAAGATCAGGTTAGCTTACCTCTACACTTGCAATACCTTCAAGAACTTGCACTTTTAGGTCTGCAACGCCCTCTGTTTCCTACATAACGTACATAGGAAAAGCAAAATGCAGGTGAAGATGCAGATCTTCGAACACAATGTCAAAGATAGATAACCATCCCCCATTATGCAAATCTTTAAAACAAGTTTATCAGTTTATGGAGAGCAAAAGTAAAGCCGAGAGTAAAAAGGCTAAAAGAAAGCGCCAATACAGTAAAATCTCCTAGCACAACTTGATCCAAAATTTACAAATGAAGCTAGTTCGATGACGGAAACGTAAAACTGGCAGTAGCAGATACGCTGAGGCAGATGAAGATTCCAAACCACACGAACTGAACAGGGAAGGCAGTAAGATTGTATACCTCTAATGCTTTTGTAACTGTTGGAATCGCTGTCTCGTTCATTGTTCCTTCAGCCTGTACAATTGCGATTTGAAAAAGAAAATGATGACAAGGTTGGATAATTCTGCCATTATTCTACAAATTACGGAGATTGCAACTAGTAATGGTAATAGTAGTCGCCTCGTTCAAACCCCCCCCCCCCCTCTTTCCCACTCCAAAAAAAAGAACAACAGCAACAACAACAATGGTAATAGCAAATAACTAGTAACTGAAAATTAATAAAGCCAAAGGGGGTACCTGAAAGAACATGGTAAGGATATCAGAAGGCGAGACGGTAACAGAGACAGTCTGATCGGTGGTGGCTGCTGGCGGCGGAGGAGTAGAGGACGCTGCTTCATCTGCTTGCTGTTCAGCCTCTGGAACCAGGGTTTCGTCTTCGGCTGCTGCAACAAAAGAGCGTAGCTTTCTCGTTGTCGGAAGCTTTGTCAAAATAGGGGAATAAATGGCAGCAAAAAGTAAAGGAGAAGCAATGGAGGTAGTATGATTTGGGAACCGAAAGAACCGAGGTCGAACGCCAGTAGGTGAAGTGGTGGGAGAGGAAGAAGACGGAGAAATGCTTCTGCAAATTGAAAATGCAGCAGATGAGGTCATCATTGTGTTTGCAGTTGGAACCATTTGTTCGTTTGATGCGCTCACTATCTACTGTGTTAAAATCCACCCCCGATCCTGTATGTTATCCGCCAACCGCGGTCAAGCTAAGTCCCGTGGGACCAATTTGAATTCTGTACGTCACCATTATTCGGTATCAAATTTAATATTACTATTCGGTACCAAATTCAATGTCAATCCCATTTATCAAATGATAATAGAAAAAATTTAAATAAATAGCATTTAATAAATTAAATAAACGGGACATTTGATATAAATATAAAAATGACACTAAATTGACACTAAAAAAGTGACACTGAAGATCCCGTGTGCGTGAGACTGATTTTATTCTAGTTTCTAGTACTTGCTTCTTCTCCTTCTTCTTTTTTCTTTCTTTTTAAAGTCCGGGTAGACAAACCAAGTCCCGTGGGACTAGTTTTATTCTAGTTTCTATTATTTGCTTCTTTTTTCCCTTTCTTTTTAAAGACCAGGTGGATTGATTATTATCACTAGATGTGGGTAAAATTATCCGCTAATTCAAAAATTTGTCATATTCGATTTAATTCGATCCGAAAATTAGGATATCCAATCTGTATTATTTGATAGGGTCAAGAGAGGATTGAGTACCCGCTAAGATACGAGACGGATTATATTTATATAATTAAAAATTCGCATATATCCTACCCGCCCTGCATATATATATATATATATATATATATATTTCTATACATATTACAAAATAATATTTTTGAACCTAAATAAGCAATTATATTGAACAAATTGTATTACAAATACTAGATATTATAATTTATTTACAAAATTCATTTATAAAGGTCATGATCTTATGTTTTATAAAAAATTAATTAATGTAAAACATATATTTAAAAAAATGTGCTACTTATTTCAAACTTTTATTAATTTGAATTCTTTTAATTTTTTTCTTTTTGTTTGTATTTTCTTCTCATGCTTGTTTCTTGGTGGGACATTTTTTTGAGAAAAAAAATATGTATTCAATTTTGGATGAATATGTAAAATATAAAATTAAATTAGTATAAATTATTTTTTAAAAAAAATTAATAAATGGAACAGGACAAGTAGGGCTGTGCATCGAAATCGAAAGCGGTAATTCGGAAGTTTGAAATCAAAAATTTTTGAAATTTTGACTGAAATTTTTCCGACCGAATTCGATTTCGAAATGGCCAATTCCGATTTCGAATTCGATACCGAATTGAATTCGAAATTCGGTGAATTCATTTTTTTCGAATTGGGGAGGGAATTAGAATGAACAGATGAGGGAGGGAGGAACAGATGAGGGCCGGCATCAGCAAAAAAGAGCCTCGGGTGGCAGGCGAGGATGAGGCAGATGAGGGAGGAGAGGGCAGAGACCCGAGCGGAGACACGATCGCACTCAGCCTGGAGATAGCAGAGGTCTGGACAGAGGCAAAGGCTGAGGAGTGGAGGAAGAAGATGGCAGAGGCGAGGCCGAAAAGAGATCTGGAGGTTAGGATGGGAGGAGAGGGGTGGACTCAGACAGGAGGAGGGTGAGGGCGAGGAGGAGGAAGAGGAAGAGGATGGCTGCGGACTGGAGGGAGGTGAAGCGGTGGACGAGGGTGCAGCCCTTGAGGAGGGGGTCGGAATCGGAGGAAACGATGGTTGGTGGGTGAAGGCGACGAGGATGCAAAGGATGAGAAGGTAGAGGTGGAGATGGCGGAGGTCTGAGAAGGCGGTGGGCGCTGTTGGGGAGAGGGTGGTAAGGTCTGGCGGTGTAATCTCGGGAAGACTTGAGATGGTTCTTGGTGGTATAGATGAGATGGTAGAGTCCCAAGAAGAGCAGAGCGAGGATGAGAACGGGGACTGGAGCCTAGTGAGGTGACGGTGGTGAGGAGGAGACCGCGTTTTTGTATTTTCTATTTTCCTCAATTCGAAATCGGAATCACCGATTTCAAATATTATGTTTTCGAATTCGACCCGATTTCAACCAATTCGAAATCGGAATTACCGAATTCACTTTCGAATTATCGAAATTCCGAATTCAATTTGAAATCGGTTTCGAAATCGAAATTTTTCGACTTTGCACACCCTTAAGGACAAGTACCCACCCCATATGCAGATACCTTATAACTGAATACCCACAGATATATCAAAGGTAAAGATTAGAAAATGACTGACCCAGAAGATACGGATCGGATCAGCTAAATAATGAACGGAACAATACTCGACTTGCACCCACCATAATTATCACTGCAAATTAAAAAAAATATGTATTCAATTTTGGATGAATATGTAAAATATAAAATTAAATTAATATAAATTATTTTTTAAAAAAAATTAATAAATGGAACCGGACAAGTACCCACCCCATATGCAGATACCTTATAACCGAATACCCGCAAATATATCAAAGGTAAAGATCAAAAAATGACTGACCCATAAGATATAGATCGGATGGGACAAATAATGAACGGAACGATACTCGACTTGCACCCACCTTAATAATCACTGCAAATCAAAACACAGCTCGAAAACTATAAATGTTTAATAAAAATTCTTACATGTCGCCCACCGTTACAACACATCCGGTACAACCATCCAAACCTTACCCGGATGTGTTGTACCGGGCCGCGGCCTACTAGTGCTCCTATGCCACGTACTGTTTTTTTTTTTTCTGAGTTTTTTTCTCCCTAGACATACATCACATCTTTTTCCCAACGAGTTCATCATCCTTGGAAACCCAAAAAACTGGAGTAGAACATTGAAAAACATAAACCATTCGCGTATTATACATGTAATTGGATTAATTTCTGTTTAGCCCCTAGCCCCCCAAACTAAGACAACTGTCAGTTGAAACCTTCAATTTCAATTTTTATTTTTTATCGTCTTTCCCTCTTCCCAAAGCATCCAAACCCATATAAATGGAAGGAGCCTATAAGCTGTAGATACCTCGGCCCCAAAATCCAAAAAGGGAAAGAAAAAAAATGAATACCCTGAGCTGAGCAAAACCGGAGTCCCCCTGATAAGATCAGTTATTTTAGCATAAATATTCCATAAACTCAATAGAATTATAATAAGAACTCATTCACAACTAACATCTTAAAATGTACAGACACAAAACCAATAAGCAGCTCTTTGTTCTGACCCAGACAACAGCAACAACAAAAGATGTCTGGCACGATTGATTCCCTCCTTCAAAGCTTAATGGTTGGATTGCTAGAGGCGTTTCAGCTATTTTACGTCACGGTCCACTTGAAATTCTCCACCTGCAAAGGAATCCATGTCTTAGCCATGCTCTAAAATGCAAAAGGAAAATAAGAAGCAGAGCATGAAATGGCCTGCAGAGTCTTACTCTTCAAATATATAGCTAGATTTGCCTGGGCATCAGCTTCGGTGTTGAACTCCTAGCAAATAGACAAGAAAATAACTCGGAATGCAGTTGATGCACAGAGAAAGATAGCGATGACGTGAAACAGATATCATGCAATGCTATCTTAGGGTAAAGCTACTCTTTCATCTAAAATCTAACACCACCAATGAACAGCGTATAAAGAGTCCAATTCAAGCAACAGGTTCAAAAGGAAAAACCTGTTGCTCCTACATTGAGGTACAAACTAAAGAAATTTCAGAGGAAGAATATGATAGATTTTCTGAAATTGATTTTCATCCAGGAGCAGTAAAACCAGTAGGTGAGACTATTATTATCATGTCTACAAAAATATGCTAGCCTCTCAACAAAAAAATAAAATAAAATCTTAGCAAAATTGACTGATATGAATTTCTTTATCCATTTCTGAGAGCTCCAATAATCTACAAGAGATGCTCATTCTTACTCTGTCAATATGATTGATATCAAAAGTCTGAAACTGATCCTTCAGCTCCTTGGCCACCTTGCACAACTCAGCCATGTTCTGGTTTTTGCATTTCCAAAGACCCTGAACCTGTTCCATAAGAATCTATCAAGTAAGTTTACAGAATAATTACAAGGTCCTCACACCGGAAACATAAACGAAATGAAACCAAATCTGATACGTGACAACGTGCTTAAAATCTTTAACAATATTGAATCACAAAACTAAAATCAGATAAAAGCAAGTACACCAAAAGCAATCCAGGACAGCACCAGTTCCTTTAAGCTTAACAGGTACTAAGTAATGGCAAGAAAAAAATAGCTTACCAAGACACCTATATATTTGGCTCCTCAAGGTTTATGTGCAAACTAAATTCAAGGTATAGAAAAGCCACAAGGGATATTTGGAAAGAAGACCTTACTTTTCATTGAATCAACATTTGTCAAGACCAAGTAGCACTAACTCAAAACAAACGTTGTAAGAATGCAGTTTTTCTATGCATGAACAACAGAAGAAGAACACACAAGCAAGGTATTCTTCAAAACTGACAAGCACATGAGCTAGTGCATTTAAGAGTTGACAAGCAAGGCATTCTTAATAATTGGAAAACCACAAGGTAACTCTTTTCCAACATTTTTTAGCTCAAGCAAGCAGGTAAAACACTCTAGGAGTTAACAGTACAGAGGTTCCTTGTATTTCAGAAAACACTAATTGATGAGAAAGTACAGTCCATTTACACTTTAAAATGCAAAGGAGAACCAGAAAGACATAAACAAGAATCAAAAACCCATAAAAGAAAAAGAACAAATGCGTAGAGCAACAGGATGATCCTAAGTTCAAAATAGTTTTCAAGGTATCATGAATGGAACTAACCTGCATGCAGACAAGTTTGGAATCTCCTTGAACACGTATGTGCTTAAACCCTTTTTCAAGAGCAAACTTCAAACCTAAAATTGCGCCTCGATATTCTGCAGCATTGTTAGTTGCAACACCCACACCTTCACGCAATCGAAAGACCTTCCAAAATGTCATTCAGATTTGTGAGCTACAATTTACTTAAAAAATAGCCATGTACAAAATATGAATATCAACATTTTAGGCATACCATACTTCCGTCTGCAGCTCGTACAACAGCACCTGCGCCAGCAAGTCCAGGATTTCCCTTTGAAGCACCGTCAAACTCAACAATACAGGAACACTGTATTTGTAATCAGAGTTTAACCTATTCAATATGCATGAAATTTGTATAGACTAGATTCACATTATATGCATTTATCAACTAATAAAGAAGCACATTCTGCAGAAAACAAAGTCCTCCTGCATCAGCATTGAAGATGATTTTAGATGGATGGTTACTTCTTTATCCATAGAAAGGCCAGATATCTAAGTTCCAATTAAGTTGCTCATGCATAATGTAAACTTAGGGCAACTGTCTTCATATCTAGTTAGATGCGTATAAGCACAAAGTAAAAACCATAACCAATATCAGAGAAAAAGCCAGAGAAGGATCTTAAGTTTCTTGCTGTTTTCTAAAGGAAAATGAATAGCTGCAAAGTTTATTTGAAGCCATAATGCAGCTTACAAGTGCTTCAGGTTTCAAATCTAATCTAGGAGCCCTTTGAAAGCATGTGAAATGCAGTTAACAGTCCATACAAGTGACTCTAGAAACTGGTTTTTAATATAATGAAAACTTACGCAATAAGAAGAAACTGGAGGAACTTTAAGGAAATTATCAACTATGGGATGCTTTTGTTGAGGATTGGCTGAGAAAGAAGCTGATCCAGCTACCTCCTGTGCATGAAAAAGGAAAAGATAAAAAAAACCTCGTTACAGTGATGATATCCCCAACAAATAACTACTAGCACTTTTCCCTACCAAAGTCAACAATCAATAGGTCATAAGGAAAAAAAAATGTGCAGGAAAGAAGTTAAACAAGATAACCTACCAGACTAAGAAGAAACACTTCACAAACAGCAAACCAAAAGATAAAGACTCCGGTTTTTAATTGGTCAAACATCTACTTTTAGTTGGGAATACTGCATGCTTGGGCTATTGTAACTTATGTTGATGACCCTGCCTATCTTAAATACACTATTACACCACCTCAACACTAAAGGAAAGTCTAGTGTCAACATATTCTGACAGCTTAGCGCGCTAATAAAACTTCTCCAAATTTTTTCTATACCAAAGTCTAGCATCAAAACAAAAGGCATGCAGTATTACATTCATTTTGAAGTTCACCTGCAAACCCTTTGAGGAAAGTTCTTGACAGCCGCTTTCTCTTTTGTGGGAGCCGGTTGCTGAAACAATCAGACGGAGCACAATCAGATAGAATTTTAAGATGTTTGCATTGCTTTATGCAGTAAATAACTACTTTATGCTTGCATTTCTAGCAAATGGCATAACTCAATTGTGCTAAAATGAACTTGAGAATGCTAAAAAAATATTAAAAAAGGATCTTGAGAATGCAATTACATCTTGGAAACAGGATCAGAACATGCATCCACAGAATATTAATTAAAGAGACATGCAAGGGATTGATCTCGGTAGAAATTCCCTGTTCAGGATTCCAAATTAAGGACTTACTCATCAACACAGACCTCAGCAACATACACTATCAGACTAGAACAAGTCAGGAAACTCTAATCTTTTAACAAGATATAGGGAATAGAAGAGTTCAATGCACCGAAAAATAAGAATATCTACCCGAAAAGGGCAAGAAACAGTATGTCCAAAAAGATCTTCTTGAACATCAGCAGCATCAACAGAATATATTGCGTTCTTAAGTCCACGAGAAGCAAGATACTCTCTCAGCTTCTTTAGACAAGCAATACCCCTTACATAGACTAATGGAAGGATCATTCACCTGAAAACATAGAAAAATTATAGCAACGGATTAGATCAGTTACATTTTCCTAAAAATTTAACTTCATCTAAGAAAAGTGCAGAAACAGTTCAGTGGCCAGAAATAAAGTACAGCAAAAGTTGAGGTCAACACAAGTTACACAACCAGTTTGTTAGCACACATTTCAAAAAGGGCAGGAAACAGCATGTCCGAAAAGATCTATAGAATATATTGCGTTCTTAAGTCCACGAGTGGCAGGATACTCCTCAGCTTACGTTCTCTCTATATCTAAATGGAATTGGAATAAGTACCTCAGCCGAAGAAGATTCTTTAACAAGAATAACCACTCCTCTTGCATCTCAAGGCAGCCTAATTTTCTAAAACAAAAACCAATTTCCGGACAGCGCACGAAAAACTGCAATTTCTAGTCCTCCACAGCTTAGAGTGAACACTCAGCTAAAAGATTTTACAAACTAACAGCAATATATTAGCCGTTAGAAAACTCCATTAGGGAAAAAAAACACAATTAACTAAACTCCATAAATAGTAACTGAACTACTAAGAATAACTCAAATTAGAAGGGTGGAAAAAGGAAAAGAATAATCGCCGGAGAATAACATTACCGAGGAGCGAAGCAGAGATTGGAGATCACTCATGCTCTTGTAAACCCCAATCATATCCCCCTTTCGTACCACCCAAAAGACGTCCCTTTCGTCCCCCATTTGACGCCTTATTTTATTTCTACTCGAAAACGCTGTACAAATCACCAGCAAGCCACAAAATTACTCTTTGTTGCAGCCAATTTGACCTAAATAAAGGAATCAAATTTGACCTAAAAATAAAAGTTCCGGAAACGATCAGCATGCATTCTACCAACGAGGTCTTGAATTTCTTTCTTTCTTTTTCATTTTCGAAAGAAATAAAGGAAGAAACAAACCCTAATTATGAGAGTGGAAATCGAGGTGAATGAGCTGGCAAGCGAGGAGTTTACACTTCTCAGTTCTCAAACCAGCAACCTCCCCTTTCGAAGCTGAAGACGAAGGTCTGTTCGGGTCACACAGTCTCCAGTATAATCAGGAGGACCAACAACAGTAAAGCATCAAAATTATAAACTGATACGGGAGTGTGTGTGTGTGTGTGTTATTTGCGGTTGTTTGGATAAACTGATACGGGAGATGAAGAGAACATCTGGGCCTTTTGGCGGGAAAGTGAAAATGTGGCATGAGCTTCTTGTTCCTCGTAACTGCCTCAAGCCCATGTGCTTCATGCACCAGAGTCCAATGCATACTAGTCTAGGCTTTAGCATCCCCTGCTCTTCCGTCCGCTGTCTGCATGATGTCCTTTTTGTATGTATTTCTAGACTTATCAATTGGATTGGGCTAGCACAAACTCAGCTCACTCGGCCCTAAATTTAATGGGCTGAGCTTTATGCTATGAACATTGCTGAGTTTGGCTCAAAATATTTTCCTGGATTTGCATTTGAGCGGAATTTGGATTGCACTGAATTCAACCCACTTAAAACTCGACCAACACAATACATATTTGGGTAGATCCATCTTTGTAAACCTAATGGCTCAATTTTACCCAAGTTTTTGCCTATATATATATATATATATATATATATATATATTAAGGGACTCAGTTACTATTTTATGTAATATACACACATGCACATATATTGAAGCAACATATAATAATTGAAATTTAGATGGCTAATTTTATGAAAAGTTATTCTTTTGCAATCTCTAGTTGATAAGTTCATAGATGTTATGATAAACTATATTATTTTTCTCATGAAATTGGATATTGCAACTTAAATTTAGATATTTTATGGATTGAATGGTTGTTTAGTTTAACTGGATTTTTTGAACATGAAAAATGCATGACATGAATTTAAGTCTGCTCCAATTAGGCCCAATACTCAACCTTTTCTTTTTGTCAAACGAGCATGAGCTATAAAAATGTGAGCATAGCTGAGCTAATTTTAGACTTAAATGAATGATATTTTATATAGAGTTGAAAGACGAACCAAATTATTTGATATTCGAATCAAGCTCGACTCTATAAGAGCTTATTCGATTTTAGTTCACTAGCTAATCAAATCAAGTTTAAAACGCAATTTGTATTTGATAAACTTTTAAATTTAGTTTGAGCTTGGCTTAATTAGCATATAAATGAAACTTATATAAAAACTTAAGGCCTCAAGTTCGACTCGAAAAAAATTCACTCGAGCTCGACTCGAGAAGTAAACAAATCAAGTTTGAACAAAATTTTAAACTCGCAAAAATAATCAAATAAGTTTGAACATTAAATGTTCAACTTGTTTAAACTCGTTTACGCTCCTAATTTTATGTGAGTTAATATTGAACACGTCAACACTCAGCTCACATAGCCTAATTGAAAAGGTTATCAATTTCGACCCATACATGAATAGTCAATCATATAAAGAGTAAACCTTTATTAGGAGCACAATGTAACATTGGCCGCCAATGAGACATTTAAAAGTCTATTTAGCTTTAGGTCGAGTTTTCGAATTTTTGCACATAATCCAGTTGGGTTTTTCCTCTCTAGCGTCTCATACACTTAAGCTCCCCCTCCCTTTTAGAGTAAGATAAAATTAATTATGTCGTCACTTGAGAAATTTAAAATAAAAAAAGTACAATATACTACGGGGCGCGCATAGATTTATACGTGAATCCCAATCAATGCGGGGGAAGAAATCAACTTATCATAAATGTTTATTTACAATAATACGATTGTAAATAATGCTAAATAAGATTAAAAAGCTGTCAAGATGGAAATAAAACATAATAAGTCAAGTTACATTCAGTGCAGAAAAAGGGAACCTAGGGATGTCAATGGGCGGGGGACCCCTCCCCCATCCCCTGCCCCGCTGCCTACATACTCCCCCCGCCCCCGCCCCCGCCCCAACCCCATCCCCCGCTCCCGCCGCCCCGTCCCCACCCCGTCCCGTTTCCCCCGGGGATACCCGCGGGGCTAATAAAAATTTATTATATAATTTTATTATGTTAAATTTTAGCAAATAATCAAATATTAAAATATCAACACATCATCAAATTATTATTCATTATAATTTTACAATTGAAACTTATAAAAATAATCAAATAAAAATTATTTGAATACAATCCAACATGATGAAATAAATATAACTAAAGTAGTCAAGTTTTCACTTTTAGCACAAATACAATCACTAATTCATTATTGTGCTTGTGTTTTTTTTAAGAAAAAAATGTTATTGTATTAAGTGTAATTAGGGATTTAGTATAAATGTATTAGTAAATTTAGTATAACCAATTAATAATTTGTATTAGTACACATATATAATTATTAGTATAATTAATAATATCAATTATATTATATATACTAATAGACATTATATAATACATATAACTAATAATATCATTATCATAAGTTTGTAACTAATTAAATTATAAATTATATATAATTATATATATTTTTTTATATATTAATTTTTTAAAGCAGGTGGCGGGGCGGAGTATGTACCCCCGCCCCGTTTCTAAGCGGGGGGAAAAAATTTCCCCCCGCCCCTGCCCAACCCCCTCCCCATTAGCCTCCCGCGGGGCGGGTGACCCCATTGCCGTCTCTAAGGGAGCCGATTGAAATAAAAAAGGTTATGAGCAAAACTGGTTGGAATTGGATTACTTAGTCTTGGGGGACATTAGAAACAAATCAACAATAGTCCAAAAAATTTCTTCAGTTGTTGCGGCGGCCCGTTGACATTGACTAGTGTTGTACTTGTAAGTAATGGTGTAACTTTGAGAAATTTAGGTTTATATATATATATATATATTTATTTATTTATTTTATTGTATGCAGGGAACGGGGCGGGGGATGGAGCCCGTGTATGTTTCCCCATCCCCACCCCATTTTAAGACGGGGGAAAATATTTTGCCCCTATCCCCGCCCCATTTCTACCCCGGCAGGCACCCGCCCCATTGCCATCCTTAGCTAGGATGCATTTAATGAACAAATGGCACATGCTTTCTTTTTGTTGATTTCCCTTGATGTCTTCATCTTGTCAATAGAGTTAGTTCTCCCCTTACTTCCAAAGAAACCCATGCAGTATATAATTCTTGCTAGTACTCATGTCAGGAAATTAAGAACAAAAATATAGTAGCCAAATTGTGATGTGCTTCGGATGCGAGTTAAGATTAAACCCATTGTCAATCTTCATGAACCACCAGTGCAAACAGAGAAAGCCTTCAATAGAGAGATAAATAAAACAATTAGGAAAGGATAGTAATTCTTTTTTTTTTCCACTATGTTTCTCGAATTTCTCAACAAGAAGTCAGTTGATAATTCGAGATAAATATTTATTCACTTTCAAAACACAAAGTAAAATTAAATTTAAAAAATTATAAATTCTTCTAATCTAGTAATATAGTAGTATCTAATTGACCAGCTGCAATCAGGAATATCAAAGTTCACATAGAAAATTAGTTGGACTTGCAGTCATGGACTGGAAGCCCGGTGCCACTAGGAAGCAGCAATATTATTAGCCTTGGCCTTCTCTTCTGCCTTGGCCGATACATTCTTCCTCAAAGTTTCCATGGCAGCGACATATTCTTCAAGTTCATTCACGTCAAGATCATCAAAGCCCCTTTCCCACCAAAATCCTTCGCCGCCCTGACTTTCCATTAAACTTTTCTCTTTTATCTTTTCAGCCTCAATCTCTTTGAGAATCTGCGCATACTGTTCCTCATCCTGATCACGTTCTTGACCACCACCGTCAGCTTGCGGAAACTGATCAGCGTTGTTAGGGTTGATGAGGTTGCCGCAAGATAACGATCAACGATGGTGGCGACGGAGGACCGGCCGCCAGCGGCGAAGACGTTTCCTCCTGGAGATTGAACAATCACGGCAACGTCAGCTCCACAGGTAGCACTGAGTTCCGCAGCCTTCCTGAACAAACTCGTACGACGTTTTGAAAACGTGGCTTGCAGGTAGTTCTTGTTCTCGATTTTCTTGATTTCAATCTTCTTTCGACCAGAGCCGCCTTTTCTCTTCACTGTGGCTTCCATTGCTGAACAAGGGTAATAGTAGTATAAGCTTTCGGGACAGAGAAAACAGTTTGCTCAAGATTTGAAGGAAAACAGAAAACTACGTACCTCGCCAGCAATGTACGTGGGTATATATAATTCTGCAAGTTCACCGACTATGGTCGATAATTTCTCTGCAGAATCTTTAACATATTCTGAGCTTTTCAGTTTTTCTTTTTTCGTTTTGGTTAAATTTGCACCTTTTTAAGGAAAAATTAAGAAACTATCACTAATAAGCTTCCAAAATCGTGGATTCCTCCGGGTAAAAAGAGGAGGCATATTAATAAGTTTCTTTTTAATGAGTTTCTTAAATTGTAGATTCCTCTAGCTAGGTTTTTTTTTTTTTTTTAAAAAGAGCAACTTTAATTTTCCAAAACTTAAGAATTCTCGTACTTGGAAGTACTTCCTTTTTCTCGTACTAACTTTAATTTCCGAAACTTAAGAATTTTCCCTCGTCGGAGCATGATTAGGGATGGCAATGGGCGGGGGACCCCTCCCCTGTCCCCCGCCCGTTGCAATGTGTCGCCCGGCCTATTACCCCCATGTCCCGTCCGCCCTCCCCCCGCCCCGCCCCGTCTCCCCCGCGGGGTTAATAAAATTTTTTATATAATTTTATTATAATTAAATTTTAATAAATAATCAAGTACTAAAATATCAATACATTACCAAATTATTATTCATTGTAATTTTACAATTGAAACTCATAAAAACAATCAAACAGAAGTTATTTGAATACAATCCAATATGATGAAATAAATATAACTAAAATAATCAAATTTTCACTTTTAGTACAAATGCAATCACTAATTCATCATTGTGTTTGTGCTTTTTTTGAGAAAAAAGTGTTATTCTATTAAGTGTAATTAGAAATTTAGTATAAATGTATTAGTAAATTTAGTATAACTAAATAATAAATTCTATTAGTAGACATGTATAATTATTCATATAATTGATAATATCAATTATATTACATAAACTAATATACATTATATAATACATCTAACTAATAATATCATTATCATAAGTTTATAACTAATTAACTTACATATAATATATAGTCATATATATATATAATTTTTTTTTTGCCGGTGGCGGGGCGGGGGAGTATACCCCCGCCCCGTTTCTAAGCGGGGGAAAAAATTCCCCCCCGCCCCGTGAGCCCCCCGCGGGCGGGCCACCCGCGAGCACCCGCCCCCATTGCCATCCCTAAGCATGATCGATCTGACATGGCACAGACACTGCACTGTATATTTGCTTTACTAGCCGCGCAAAATTTTTTTTTTTCTAGGAACATCCTCCTAAGACTTTCCCTGCGGAATTTTTAGAGTAATTTTGGGCATTCCATTTTTCGTCAAATTTCTGTCTAAGAAACTCTCTCTGATGAGTTCCTAAATTGTGGGTTCCGGTAGGCCAGAAAAAGAGCAACTTATTTTTCCTTTTCGTCCGCATTTTGTACTTCCTGTTACTTATTTCAACTTTCCAAATTTTTTTTTTAAAAAAATTCTAGAATCCGGTAGCAATATCTGACGTGGCATAAACGCCGCACTATTGAATATTGACTTTTTTTTTTGGAACTTTGGAGTTGGGACAAGTACGACTTGCTATATGTTTTAACTTACACTTATATTATTTTGTTGTATAAATGATTTTTTATTTTTTAATTTACTAAAAGTGTGAATTTTATTTTCTACACCGTATGTCGTATGTCGAAAGATCGTGGGGTTTTTACTCTGAGTTTAAGGTCCACAGAGGTTTTGTTCTGTCACCAATTGGCTGAACGTGGTTTCCTTGTGGATTCTCCTTAGATTGCCTTCGGGTTGACGTTTTCGTTAACTCCTGTGCTTGTTCTAATTGTGTGGATGCGTGTGTTAATTTCAATTGCTGAAAAAAACAGACCATTTATATGGTGAGGGTGTGCACCGGAGGGGTTGGATCACCATCCCACGTCGAAAGATCATGGGATCTTGGTTTAAAGTCCACAAAGGCATCGTTCTGTCACCAATTGATTGAACGTGGTTTCCTTGTAGGTCCCTTTTAAATTGCCTTCGGGTCGACACTTTCATTAACTCCTGTGCTTGTTCTAATTGTGTGGGTGCGTGTGTTAATTTCAGTTGCTGAAAAAAGATTAAAAGTACTATACTAAACCACAATTTTAATTGTCTCAACACGATAGTTTTTAAAAGTAGAATAGATGGACATAGCCAACCTTTTTTTTTTATTAATATTCTACGCAACAAAAGCATGTTTATTTTGGAAAAGTTTTGAGTGCACCAAAGATGGTGCGATGAAAGGGTAAATGCCTTATTTGGATTGCCATTTTTTTAAAAAAAAAATTTACAATTTTCGTAGATATATTTTTCTCAATTACCTTTTTATTTTACATATATTGAATTACTACAATACATTTATCTACAAACCAAGAAAAGAAAATAGCAATTGTTTTCGTATGTGTTGAAATGCAATTATAAAGAATTTGACTATTTGAGGAAGGAATAATTTCAGAAACCTCCCTTGAGGTTTCACGAAATATCACTTAATTCCCTTGAAATTTTTAAAATCTCACTTAGCACCCCTTGAATTGACATTTTGGTAACATTGTCAACTCTTCTAACCAAAATTAATATTAGAAAATTCATGTCAGAGGAGAGAGACAATTTTAGTGCCCTTAATATCATTAGACTATTAAAAAATGAACATTTTACAGACCAAGGAAAAAAGTACTAAATTGGAACCATTTTAAAAGTGAGGGAGTGAAAGTCAATAAGGATTTATGTTGTAACTAATAGTCACTTCTATTTACCATGAGAGACAGTAGAAACAAATATACTATTCTTTAAACCATTTCTACAAATAAAATCCTCCATAGTGTTGGAGGCAATTAGCATTTAAAACCCATACATTTGAGCAAAAAAGTTCAGCAATAGATGAAATTAAACTTCAATATCATATAGAAAATTTACTTGAAATAGACTGACTTTTTCATGGGCGTGAAAGATGAAAACATTATTGTAAACAAAAAAAGTCAGAATTTGAAAAATCACGGCATTCGGAGCTTCAGTTACTTTATTTCTCATTTCTCTCGTACTTTACATGAACAGAAACAAACAAATAAATAAATAAATATAGTTGTGAAACACAAAAATAGGGCCATAAATATAGTATTGTTCTATTGTTGACAAATCTTTAAGTTTTGAATAGGTCAAACAACCTTTTTTAGTGGGGTGGAAAGTGTTTTTAGCTTCACCTGAGGCGATTGCAGGGATGAATGTAATAATTTCAAAGATTATGGGATGCAAAATGCTGAGCAATTTGCAAAACAACATCACTTTCCTTTTTTACATTTACATCTATCTGAAGTTGCAAATATGCAAATGTTAATACAACTACATGAATCGATTGAGCAAGGGCTTTTGAGATCTTAAGAACCCGTGAGTGTCTATTTTATAGAGGGTGAAACTACCTGATATATTAGATATACGGATAAAGATAAGATTAAGTTGGGAGGTCAATCAAATACTTCTAAGTGTGTTGGGATACTATCAAATTGTTACGGATGGTCTCTAATATAGTCTTGTTATTTTCCAATCCTTTTAATACCTATTTAACGCGTAAAGTCTCTCAAGATATCTCCTCCACCCGAATTAAAGAGTCTAGGCATCAGATGAAGCCATCCTCAAAGTTTAGAGCAAATATTCAGCAATGCTATTGTTTCGTCAACAAGAGAAAATTTTCATATTGCTTAACCGACCACTGCTGCTGTTGATCTGCTCTGTGTGCTTTACGATATTGCTCATATTCTACGCACTGCATGCCCCCGATTCCATCAACTTCACCGCCAAAAATGCAGGCTATGTCCCAAGCAACTCATCATCCTCGCTACATCCTCCTGCCAAAGGTAATTAATTAAGCAGCTCCTTGTATACAGTATAATCCATCGTCTCATCACGAAAGAATCTGATCGCACTATTTAATTCAGAATTTTAGACACATCCAAACTCACTTCTGCTGTCGTATTATTATTATTATTATTATTTTTTTTTTTGGCAGAAGATGCAAAATGTAACTTGTTTAAGGGTCGTTGGATTTGGGACGAGAAAGGTCCATTGTACACGAATTTCAGCTGTAAAACGATCCCGGACAAGAAGAATTGTTTCTTGCATGAGAGGATGGATAAGGATTTCCTTCATTGGAGATGGAAGCCCGACGAATGTGAACTTCCCGTCTTCGATCCCAGGAGCTTCCTAAGCATCGCACGGGGCATCACTTTCCTTTTTTACATTTACATCTATCTGAAGTTGCAAATATGCAAATGTTAATACAACTACATGAATCGATTGAGCAAGGGTTGAGGAGAATATGAGCAAGGGCTTTTGAGATCTTAACAACCCGTGAGTGTCTATTTTATAGAGGGTGAAACTACCTGATATATTATATATACGGATAAAGATAAGATTAAGTTGGGAGGTCAATCAAATACTTTTAAGTGTATTGGGATACTATCAAATAGTTACGGATGGTCTCTAATATAGTCTTGTTATTTTCCAATCCTTTTAATACCTATTTAACGCTCAAAGTCTCTCAAGATATCTCCTCCACCCGAATTAAAGAGTCTAGGCATCAGATGAAGCCATCCTCAAATTTTAGAGCAAATATTCAGCAATGCTATTGTTTCGTCAACAAGAGAAAATTTTCATATTGCTTAGCCGACCACTGCTGTTGATCTGCTCTGTGTGCTTTACGATATTGCTCATATTCTACGCACTGCGTGCCCCCGATTCCATCAACTTCACCGCCAAAAATGTAGGCTATGTCCCAAGCAACTCATCATCCTCGCTACATCCTCCTGCCAAAGGTAATTAATTAAGCAGCTCCTTGTATACAGTATAATCCTTCGTCTCATCACGAAAGAATCTGATCGCACTATTTAATTCAGAATTTTAGACACATCCAAACTCACTTCTGCTGTCGTATTATTATTATTA